GGGGGCGCTGGGGCTCTTCCCCGTTTCAGAGCTGGAGGGGGCACAGGCCGCCCCCTCACCTCCACCCCGGGCATGGTGCCCCCTCGAAGGGCTGCCCTGTCACCCCCCGGGGCTGTCCCGTCACCCATCTCCCCTCCGCAGGCACCAGGCGATGGCAGCATGGAGGAGAGCGCGGCCGAGACTGTGGGGACGGCAACAGAGCCGGTGACAGGGACGGTGCCGGTGGCAGAAGAGGAGGAGGAGGAGGATGACAACGACGACCTGGCAGGGCGGTTCCTGCAGCTGGAGCGGGAGCAGAGCGCACTGCTGCAGGCGCTGCCGCCCTTTGGGGAGCCCGTCAGCCACGTCTACCACCCCCTTGACTATGCCTGGGAGCCCCACTGCGACTTCGTGCGCCGCTACTGCCGCACCCCCAAACGCGTCCTCTTCCTCGGCATGAACCCCGGCCCCTTCGGCATGGCCCAGACTGGGGTGCGGCACCCGGGGGGACCCCGGTGGGGAGGGAGACTGAGGCACGGGCAAGGCTGGGACTGGGCCAGGGGTTTTTATAGGGTGGCTGTGCCCAGGGGACAGGGTGTGTGTGTGCACCCCGTATGTCCCCGCAGAGCCAAAAAGGGGGGGAAGCTGAGGCACGGGGGTGCTTGTGGGGTGCCCGGGGGATGCCAAGCACTGTCCCCATCCATACCTGCACAGCCCCACGTGAGGGAAACTGAGGCACAGAGGCAGCTGGCTCAACTCCAGGGCTGTTTCAGTGTGGCCATTCCCCAGGGCACCCCCCAAGCTCCCCCTTCCAACTCCTGGGGAGGGGTAACCGCACCCGGGAAGGGGGGGTGATCACAAGCTTCCCCCTGACTGCCCTCCCCATCTCACAGGTTCCCTTCGGAGAAGTCTGGCACGTACGGGAGTGGCTGCGGGTTGTCGGGGGGGTGAAGAAGCCGCCCTCGGAGCACCCCAAGCGCCCGGTGCTGGGCCTGACCTGCCGACGGGCAGAGGTGAGCGGTGCCCGCTTTTGGGGGCTGGTACGGACCCTCTGCCCTGACCCCCACCTCTTCTTCCGTCACTGCTTCGTCCACAACCACTGTCCCCTCCTCTTCCTCGCCTCCAGCGGTCGGAACTTGCCCCCCACCGAGCTGCCCCCCGCCCAACGTGACCTGTTGATGGGGCTTTGCGACCGGGCGCTGACGCGAACCGTGGGGCTGCTGGGCGTGGGGCTGGTGGTGGGCGTGGGGCGTTACGCCGAGCGGCGGGCACGGCGCGCTTTGGCAGCTGCCGGCCTGACCGTTCGCGTTGAGGGGTTACCCCATCCCTCGCCCCGAAATCCCCGTGCCAACCGGGGGTGGGAGGAGCTGGCCAAGGCGCGACTGGGAGAACTGGGAGTGCTGGAGTTGTTGGAGGAGAAGGGGGGCACGGCGGCGGGGAGGTGAGGCGGAGGGTTTCGGGGGGGGGAGGTGGATCTGTGCCTCAGTTTCTCCTGTGGAGGGCAAGGCTGGGGTTTGGGGGGGAGTGGGTAATGGGTCTGTGCCTCAGTTTCCCCAGTTGGAAGCTCGTTTGGGGGACCTTCAGGAGGTGGAGGATGGATCCCTGCCTCAGTTTTCCCCCCACAGGACCAAGCTCGGGGTCTCATTTTGAGGAAGAGGATGGGTCTGCACCTCAGTTTCCCCACTGAGAGCAAAGCGGGGTCCCATCGCACAGGGATGGGGGAGAGATCCATCCCCCGCCCTGCCTCATGCCTCAGTTTCCCCTTGCCGTGGGGCAGACCCCACCCCAAGGGCTAATTCTGCTGCCAGCAGCCTCCAGTCTCCCCAGTTTAACACTAAATGGGCTCTCAGGAAAGGTGAGGTGCCGCATCCCATGGGGTTGCTGGCTGTGACCCTGCCCCATGCCTCAGTTTCCCCTGTGAGGCACCTGGGAGCCCCGGGCTTGATCCCCACCAAGCTGTGGGGCTCTTCACCCTTTTATTTCCCCTAAAATTTCCCTTTTTGGGGTTTTGGGGGTTTTTTTAAGCTGTTTAACCCAAGGGGTCAGTGGCCCTGCTCACTCTTGGCAGGGAAAACTGAGACCTGGGTGCATCCCCCAGGCTGGGGTGACAAGGGGTGGGGACACGGGGCGCGAAGGGGTCCCCAGGGTGGTCTGTCACCTGTCCCTGTGCCTCAGTTTCCCCTGCCGGCAATAAACACTGTGTCCTGCGGGGCCGTGGCCTCCGCCTCGTCCTTGGGGTGACATGCCCTGGGGGGGGGGGGGGT